TGGTATTTCGTTTTGGCTGAACAGCAACTATTACGCGATCGAACGAATAAAAAAAACTAGTAAGATTCTTCCGTTTGATATGAAATTGTTCGAAATAATTGGAAACTTTTCAGTTTTATATACGTGTGTAAAAAATCGGCATACGAAAATCGCTAAAGACTACGTCGAACCAAGACCTGAATTTCTTTTTTTTCATTTCGAAAGTGATTCAAATGAGGGAAAATTAAATGTAATCATTTCTCTCTCATTCGGTATGAGTGTGTTTTGTGATTTTCTCTTTCTTTTTTTTGAAGAAGTTGTAGGTGAGGTAAAAAAGTAAATTTAATGCTGCAAAGGAAATGAAAATGATGATATTTTTATAATAACATATTACGATTGCGACTCACAATTTGTGAGTAAAGAACATATCTATTGAAAATACAAAAGCGAATTTGAGTAGTTTTTTCAGCTATTTTTTGAATCAGACTTTGTTCATTTGCATATTTTGACTTACCAAAGCTTACAAACATATGCACATTATAAATTTCAATAGTAATCTAAGCGCAAACATACATATCGTTTTCAAAATTTAATTCTTTGCATGTAACAAATAAGATACTTGAAGATAGCAGCAGTGATTAAAGAGAAAAATTCATTTAGTCACTGTATTTTTTTCCTTGGCCTCTAATCGCTCAAGCGTATGTCTTCTTTTTGCTTTTTCTCATTCTTCCTCTCGGCTTATGATTATGATTTTTATTGCTCTGTGTGAACATTAAAACTATCCTAAGAAACAATTTATAAGGCAAATTCACCCATTTGTAGGCGCATATTAACGGTCGATTTTGAGTCCGGATCTATGTGTCGGCGATTCATCTCGATTTCCGGCTCTGAATCATAGCTGGGCAGACTGAAAAATTCAGGGGGGGGGTGGGGGGGTAATTTTCTCAAAAACTCCTAGCAAAATAGGAAAATTTCATCTATGATCCAAAAACCCTAGCAAAATGAGAAAAATTCTATCCAAAATCATGAATTTTTTTAAGGGGTAACGCAAAAATTTGATGTCTCAGGAGGGAGTAATCCCCCCCTACCCCCCTGTCTGCCCAGCTATGCTCTGAATGCACATTTTTATTGCATGTTGGCTTTGGTTTGATGTACATTACTGACACGGAAACACCATTGGTCATTATTTGTTTACGGAATTGTTTTGATTGTTTTCCCATTTCATTGATTTTATCAACTTTGAACGACAAATTCCATGGTCCCAAAAGTTAGCGGAATTTAAGCACTACATTTAGCTCGTTTGCCAATCTGTAATACACTGCCAGTCTTTAGCCGTATGTGAGACCATACTCCTAAGAAAAACAAACTACTCGACATCTTTATTTTGAATTTTTGAGTCAAAAAAATGTCTTACATCCATAAGATGAACTTTTCCGCACCACAGTGCGATCACAATCCACAACATGTATTTTACTGAAATTTGAATTCACAAGAAAACTGAATCTGGCATTAGTTTTGCTATACAAATAATTTTTGACACACTTTTCATACAAAAATTACTAAACATGGAAGTTTTTGTATGGAATCAATCATAACGACGTGAAACTTTGCATGGGCTATTTTTTCCACAAAAAGCCGACATTCCGAAAGTTCGAAAAAATGTCAACACAATTTAGGGATATTTTGAACAAAAAATCGAAAATAAGATTCACAAGTTTTCATGGTGATAAAATAACTTCAAAGAAACATTTGATATTGAAGTTTTTGATACGAAATTAATCAAAATGTGTATTTGCAGTAATTTAATCACAGTAAAAACTTGTGAATCTCCTTGCCAAAGTACATAATTTCAGCAAATTTGATAACATTTAAATGCATATTAATATTCTCATACAAAATTTTCGTTTTTGTCCAAAAGGAGTTGGTGATTTTCCTTCATATGAAGTGAGTCCACTGTCAAACGTCAATATATTATCGAACCCTTCTATGAAATGTACAGTGGAGCCACTTTTTGGTACTAAGTAATTCCATAGAAGGGTTCGATAAAATATTGACATTTGACAGCAGACTCACTTTTTCACGAACATCTTTTGTTCGGGAGGTGATATGGGACGTACCCTTATTTTTAATTTAAAGTTTTTTTAACTCTCAGAATGTTATTTTTTTTGTAAAAAAATGGCCATTGCAAATGTTTACGTCATTGCGATATCATGCAGTCATTGCATTCATACAAAAATGCACATACACATACAGAGAGAGAGAGAGAGAGAGAGAGTGAGAGATTTACCCCTGGGCACTGACTACAGAATGGTTATGTCTTGGCTAAAGGGGAAGAAGTCCCCGCAGCTAGCGTGCTCAAAGATGCTAAAGTCGATAGTGGAAACGTTGTTCCCACAAAGAACGAACACCACAATCGACTTTAGAGCACAACAGATCGACGCAGTCATACCACAGGTGACAGAAGGTGAGCTAGTTGTGGCATGCCAAGAAATCGGGGACAAAAAAGCACCTGAACCCGATGGTATTCCTAACAAAGCGCTCAAGATGGCTGTAATAAAAAGACCGGACTTTTTCATTGAAATAATGCAACAGTGTCTCGAGGAGGGCCAATAAAAAATATGAAATTTGTGATTTGACAGTTCCGCCACGGTTTAGCTGCCCTGCGGAATATTTCCCCTTCGGGTTTCATTTTCGGGAAATTATGATTTCCGGCAACATACCGGCATTCGCGACTATTCATCGCTGAAGGTTTTGGCCACGGCTCGAAGTTCTGGCGGTATGAACATATTTGCATCACAATTACTGGATTATTGGTTCGGAGAATTGTTTGCAGTTCACATTTTATTGGAACTATCATCTTCGTAATCGTTATTATCTAACACCGACTCGTTTTTATCCTTTTACTTTTCCGCACACACCTAGTTTGTATGAAAAGTGTATCAAAAATAATTTTTATGGAAAAATTAACGTCATTTTTTAAATCGTTTTGTTAGAAAATAGAATCTTTTGCGAGTACTCCTGCTATTAAATTAAAGAATATTTCGATGCCGAGCATGATGGCCTCGAACTTTATGCCGCTTGAAAGGCTTGAAGAATCGAACAAATATTATTTTGAACTAGCTTAATAAAATACGCATCTATCACCGTGCGGAAAAGTTCGTCTTACTCCTGTAAGACTCTTTATTTTCTTTTCATTCTTAATAAACTAATTATACAAATGAATGAAAAAAGTTGTGATAAATAATTAACAAACATATTCTCAAGAAATTCTTTTAGCACTTTAAACTATGGTTTTGATTGTTCTCCAATTTTGTCAATAGCATTTTTAAGCAAACTATGGGATTTTTCCAAATAATCATAGAAAAATAGCTCTCATGTCGAAAAGTCACCAAAGTTTGACACATTTAGAACGCGCCAACCAAAAATGTCAGATCGATAAGATTTTAATATTTCTAAATTGTAATTTCACACATAGAAAGATAACGCAAAGATAAATAAATGCATTAAATGACGTATAAAAACAAAGAACATTTAATTAAATTACGCAAATCTCTTTCCAAGTGAGTTGTTTTTTACTTTACCGCACACACCTAGTGTGTGAGGTAAAGTATTGAAATCGGTCGAAAAATTAATACCCCATAAAAACATGCATTTTTTTGAACAAGTTAATCGATATATTTAAAAAGAAATAATTCAAAACCCAATTGAGTTGTGTTTACATTATGTTGTTAAACGAAATAATATTGGAAGTGAAGGAAGTTGATCAATTCCATTGAATCCCTTTCATAATCGTAATCTCTGTTTCATTTGACACGAAAATGACCACAAAAATTCAAAACATTACATTTTCCAACAATAAAATGTACTAAAAACTATACATTTTTGTTTGCTGGGAGTCGTTACTGTTTATGTTCTGATTTTTCGTATTTTGTTCTCAAAAGACTTTGATGATATGGTGAGCGACTAATGAACAAACCAACCACTTAATATTTTAATGCATTGAAGAGATTTGGAGATAATAAATGTAAAGTTTATACTCGATTCTTTCAATATTTTGTTGAAGATGCCTCCGTATTCTCTCGATATATATTGTTTCTTTTGGGCTCGTTCTTTGGAATTTTTGATGTATTACAGAACTATTGGTGAGATTTAAAAGAACGCAAGTGTATTCGACTTTGTCACAATAAAGGAATGTAAGTTTTTTCATGGTTCAAAGTTTTTAAAGGAAAGTATGTATTTCGGCTGAATTAGTTGTTGAAAAAGGAATGCATGTTTTGCGCCAAATAAATTTTGAAAAACGAAAGTATGTATTTCGGCTGAATTAGTTGTTGGAAAAGAAATGCATGTTTCAGTGTATTCGTTTGGATAAAAGAACGTAAGTGTCTTTGCTCTGGAAGTGGGCTTTAGTGGATCAACAGGATCGTTCAGAACCGCTCCTAGTTCTGGAAGTGAACCCTCAGAATGAGCTAGGGCATTGTCAAACCATAGTCTGGTCCATCCTGAGAATCCACCAAAGCCCACTCCCAGAACTGGGAGCAGTTCTGGACAATCCTTAGGATTCGCCAAAGCCCAGTTACAGAAAAAATCGTTATAATATGCATCCCTTTTTTAACAACTGATTCAGAATCACTTACTATCATTTTGCAAAATTTATTTAGTGCGAAACATGCATTCCTTTATCAACAACTGATTCAGCCGAAAAACATTTTACAATTTTTTTTTGCTGTAAAACATATTTCCCTTTCAGTAAGACAGAATTGGCAAAACACATCACTTTTCCAAAATTAAAGGCGAAAAAAATACATACGTTCTTTTAGATCTCACCCATAGAGAAAATATTTCTTCATTGAATAAATAAAAAAAATGAATCGATGAAATTCTCTTGATACATTTTGTTCACTTATAATATTTGCTTTAACTGGAATGAACTGGATGGATTTGAATGTATTTCTTTAGTTTTAGTTCGATTAGAAAAAAATGAGACACAAATTAATTCGCATTTTCTCTTTTTTTATTTACAGTCTTAAACCACCACCAAAAGACGGTGTTACCAAAAGCAATCCATCGAAAAGGCATAGAGAAAGATTAAACGCTGAACTGGATCTTTTAGCTTCACTGCTGCCATTCGAGCAAAATATTTTAAGTAAATTGGATCGACTGAGTATTCTTAGGTTAGCTGTTAGCTATTTAAGGACAAAAAGCTATTTTCAAGGTAAGATTTTAATTTTAATAAAGTATACATTATAAAGATTTTTTTCCAAAAATACAGTACATTTTATTTAGTATCTAAGCTACGGCGAACATAATCAATATTTAATCCATTCTCCTACCTTCTTGATCACACGAGCACATCTATTCGGCATACTTTTGCTCAAAATTTCAACATATTCGCGTTGGAAACCTTTCCACTGGCGTTGAATGAATGAACTGAGCTGCTTCAAATTGCGGTGTGTTTTACCATGAAGTCTTGCCTTAATAATAGCCAAAACATTTTCGATCGGATTGCAATCGGGTGACTGTGGTAGCCAGATCATTTGTTTTATTCCATTTTGCTCCTTGCAAGCGGTGCTGAGACGACTTTTGTGTTTTGGATCGTTGTCTTCTAATATAAACCAATTCGAATTGCCGTTGCCATAGAACTTCTTGGCGGTGGGTAACAGTGTCGATGAATAAAGTTGGTTCATCCTCACGGCGTTTAAAATACCCGCGAATACGGTCAACTTTCCAAAACCAGCTTCATGAAGCAACCATAAACATGCAACATGGTCCCGAAATCAGGTAGTGCTATTCACCAGCCAAAAGAATGACTCGTCAGTGTATATAACTTTGCTCCAATCTCATGTTGAATTTTGATTTGCCCAGTCAATGCGTAATTCTTCTGGTTTTCTGTCAAAAGTGATTTCTTCAATTTACTGCGATAACGAACACCGGCCACATCTAGTCTTTTCTTGACAGAGTAAAAAACTGCTTCAAAACGTTTTGAAAAATGTTCGGAATTCATGTTTTGATTGCACAACAAACACTGTACTGATTTGAGAATTATCAAATTTGTTGTGCGTCGTAGTAGAGTGCCATCTAGCGACACCAAAAATATTTTTAAGATATTTGAAATTTTTGTCTAAAAAATCGGTGACTCTATATAAAAAACGTACTCTATTTGAGTTTAAATAATTATTTAAAGTGTTGAAAAAGAATTTGATCAAACAAGTTCACCAATTTCCTCAAGTTACAATGTTAAAGTTAAGTTATACCAATACACATAGTCAAGCATGCATAGCACACAGAAATATTTTTGCGACGTGCATACAAATCGTTGATCCTTTCAACAATATTAATGTAAACAACCGAATAAATCATTTTGAGTATATCGAATAATATTCGTTTTTCTGTTATTTTTTTTTATTTGTATGCGCATATTGACCTCGCCCCAAATTCAGAAAACAATATGTATATATACACATATACTAAAATATAAAGTGAACATTCTATCAACTGAAGTTTAGCTTTTTGGCGCAACCTGGTGCCTAGTTTTATTCGAAATACAAATAAAAACAAATATATCAAATTCATTTCATAACAGAAAAACAATTCTATTTGGTATATAGAATATACAATATAGACAGTCTTTGAATGAGAAAATGTGCGAACTAAAATAAAAGAGGGGGCGATTGAAAGTTTTTTGTTGAAGGATTTCTAAGAAAAACTTGAACCAAAGTAAATAAATTACAGATATGAGATATGTTATCGGAATGTATTGAAGAAAATTGCTGTCTAATCAATATAAGATGTGTGAAGAATTTATTTTGTAGAAAGCATTTAAATTCATTTGAACACAAAAATTTTTTGATAAAAAGATAAAGTCTAACCGAATCAAATAAATAATAGCTGATTCTGTAAATTCTAAATAATTGTAAAAAATGTTCGATATCAATACGAGTCACGAATTCTATTAAAGATGGAATTCGATGCTGATGGAAAAATCTTGAGTACGGATTACACCCTTATGTAACGCAAGCGCAAAGACTTCTTTAACGACGCCATCGCGTGTTTATCAGAAACTGCCGAAAAACAGCAATAGCGCACACATTGAAAAGCGAAAGAGGGAGACGCTGTGAAAACACAAGCAAAGGGAAATGGAAAAGCATAAAAGCAATTGGCAAAAGCGAAAATAAATATTGAATAGCGTCGGATGCACTTCACGTTTTCAGGATTTTCTACATCCCATTTCATTCTCATTGTGTGTCTGTTTCAAATATTGTGCTTTAATTTGCTATGAATTTTTCCTTGGTGCTGTTGTGTTTATATCTTATGTTTATTGGAATATAACAAGCGAAAGAAACCAATTACAATTTGTCTGTCATTCGCCGATAATAGGTTAGACAAAAATGGGAGCAATTTTAGCAAAAGTTATGTGGGGAATTTTGTACGAACTAAATCGACGCCATTGTTAACGAACAAAAGAGCAGAAAATTCTGTCCGATGAACGCGAGATAAAATGAAAATGGTGGAAAAATATATTTTCTTTTGCGTTATTTTTTTATGATGATTATGAGCTCAATTTTAAACTTCTGAATCAGTAGCGTCAGCAACAAAGATAGACGCACAACATTATCTTCAATTTATATTCGCACCAAATCTTTATTCATAGCACGCTTTCAAATTAGATGTGTTTTCACCATTCAATCATAGCGAAATAGTGTTTGTACTTGCAAAGCAAAATAAAGAAATTATACCTCCCGTTTGTAATCGTATCGATTTTTTAATTGGGTTATACTTTAACTGGTATATGAAGGGACGGTGTTTATGTTGTTTTTTTTTTTTTGTTGTTATATTTCATTTAATTTCATTAAATTTAACGAGTTTGCTTTTGCTGATTCGCATTTTAATCAAAAAATGTTAAAATATGTGACATTTTGATGGGTTTACTTATAAGTACTTTTTACTTCGGCAATGCAGTCAAATCGTAAGTTTGGTTCAATTTTCTACTGGAAACAACTGACGCAGTCAAATGCATTGGTGAAATCAACAATACAGTATTAAAAATAACAAAACAGAGTAAACGACTAAAACCTCTATGGTAAACTGTTCCATGTGTAATTTATTTTATTAGATATATCACATTTTCAATAGTTTCACCCTCTGTGTGTTGAGCCACGCTTGTATCGCTGCTCTGCGAGTAATCATTTCTATATGAATTTTAGTTTATTACTCTATCTCTTTCTTCCTTGCTTTTTCTTTCATTTTCTCCAACTCTCTTCATACGTATTGTTTCTTTTTTTCTTTCGTTAGTATTATTGAAGTTTCGTAATTGTAAAAACAAAAAACGTTCTTCTCTTTGTTGTTGCGTTGAAAATTCTGAATAGACACATATCAAACAATATATTTTATGTATGAGACAGTAACCACCTGGCCTTCAATATGTTTTATTTACCTTTGCTTAGGCTGATAGCTAGTGCCTTTCTTAAAAATAAAACGGCCGCGTACGCTCAAGAGCAAACGATCAGTAACGCACGTTGTATTTCGTTGGTTTTTAATTCATCAGTCCTCCCTTTAAACCAAAATTGACTGACCATCCGTTGCATATTAGTTTTTTTTTGTATAATATATCTAGAATATAATCGCTTTTAATTTTCAATAGATTGAAACAATTCGCAGTACACAAAGGTCAAAACCATGAGACATGATGTCATTCCCATTCATCGTCATTAAAACGCGCAATAAAACAATGCAACATATTCAAGAAATTTCGTAGACAAATTTTTATGGTTGCAATAATAAAATATGCTTTTTGCTTTATGTACATACAAGATGAAAAATTAAGCGAGCCAAGTTATCACTATTTCGTTTTGTTCTTTCACAAAAATAAAGAGTGTAACTAAAGGATATAATACGCAATACAGGTTTTTATTATTATTTCTTGAAAATAGTTATATTTCTAGGCATTAACGCTGAGGATATTTTTTATAATTCTCCTCCATTCCCATGCTCTTTCATTGGAATTTAGTCCTCGTTCACTCTTTCTTTTTCTCTTTCCTCCTTTTGCATAATATTAAATGTATTTAATTAGTTTTGTTATTTATGTAGTTGTAAGCATTGTTTCAGTGTAAAAGAATAAAATGAGTACATTACCCATCTCTTTGGATTAAAAATATACAACGAGAAAAATTTATTATTATGATTCGCTTCATAGTTTTATTTGACCATAATTTCTTGTTGTATTCTTTAATTATTTTGTAGAACTTATGGCTTTTCTTTCAGATTGTCGTTATCATATCGTGCAAAAAGTATTACAAGCAACGCCAAACATACCATCAAGATTTCGAATGCCAAAAACCGTGTAAATGAGAGCGAGTTAAAAAGTATTTCAGCATATTAATTTTGTTGTCGGTTTGGTGCGGTTTCTTGTCGCCACCGCCACTGTTTTGACTAGCATGATTTTTCATCCATACGCTAACAAAATTAAGCCATATGCGGTATATTTTATCCATAGCCTCACCTGTGTGGTATTATGCCGTTGACTCATTATTCACTATATTACTGGACATTTCATTTAAATCATGTAAGAATTTACGGTTGCGACAAATATGAAACAAAAATTATAAAATATTAACTGTTGCTATAGCAAAAGAAAATATAGTTGTACTGTTACACTGTTCATGAATTTTTTTGACGACTGAAGAAATGAAATAATAATAATAATTAGTTATATATTAATGTCGCATACACACCAAAAAATCTAAATTAATATTAAATCTGATATCACGCCGAAAATTTATGAGGTTGACCGAACCTGAAAAATATCCACACAATTTATTAACATAATGCTTAGCGGCTCGTGTCCACTATCAAAATTCATCAACACTTCAAAGTATGTTCATTCTTCAAATTCGGCATTCGGAATCGAAAGAAAATCTTGGAAAAGCATACATGCTCCCTATATTTTTTTCTGATACAGTTGTAAGTCTAAAAACTTATTTTGAACGCTCTTACATTCATTTGTCTACATTAGTTTGAAGAGGATGAATAGTTCAGCACAACATTTTAAGTATGTAATACTCATTCGTTGGTTTTAATACCAAGAAATATGATTAAGGTAACAAATGAAAATCATATTAGGGGAGTGTTTTAAGTTCATTAATAAGAAGAGCAAAGATATTTCAGAATGTTTCTTGTTAACCTTTTCAAAACTGTCAACACATTTTATTTATTTTT